TTTTTTTCAATTTTGATATTTCATATTTTTATCTAAGGAAGTTTAATTATTCCATAGATCTCTGAAAATGAGCAAATTCCATATTTTAGCCATACATATTATAAAATATAATCATTGATACGTTGGTAAGTTTTTTAAATGAATACAAACTTTTTAAACTGCTTTTTTTTTAAATTGGAGGATTAGGAATTCATATTTACATTTTTATACAATTTGAAAATTTTTACGCACTTCCAAATCAAACTCGACGAGGTATTTTATAATTTTATGTGCAATATGCGCATTTTTTATATATTTTCGTTTTAAACTTTTGTATAAGACAACATAAAAAAAGGAAAATACCACGATATTTTAATTTACTGATAGTTATTTACTCATGAGAAATGAAAGTTAAAACGATCACGCTCAATGCAATGAGAAGTCAAAACTAAATTTTGAAACTAATGCTTGATAAGATTTTTTTTTAAAAAAATTGTCTTTATTAATCAATTTTTAAATTAAGCTAATAATGATTTAAATTAATTCACAACATAACTCTCTCTCTCCTCTCTCTCTCTCTTTATATATATATATATATATATATATATAATNCTGAGATTTGGGACTGTTTTCCTTCTTTTGAGGATTATAGGAAGTAACAAGTACTGAGTCTGTAACTTAAGATTGATTTTTTTCTTATAACAAAATAAGTTAACAATATTTTATATTTCTTGATATTGAATTTTTACATTTTTTAAATGCTTATAAAGAATTTTAACTTTGATCAAAAAATTTATTCAAATATTGTTCTAATGAAGAAGAATATTTCTTTGCAAAAAAATTCCAAACAAGAGACATAGAGCTGAAAACTGTTAAAAATGAAGATGAAATTTTTACATTTATTAATAGCGCTACTATGGAACTATATTGTGATATATATATATATATATATCACAATAAAGAGACAAAAAAATTAAGAAAATAATTAAAAAATATGTTTTTGAAGAAAGAATTTTTTTTTAAATATTTAAAAACTTTTTTAAAACAATTAAAAGAAAAGGAAAGATATTATTTTGTCGTCAACTCCCACGATTATATCAGTAAAATGAAGTGCTTTGTAATATTGTATTAATATAGCCAAAGCAAAATATATAAATACAAGAGTATATACAATACCGGTAACTGAAAAATACATTTGATCCGCCCGCCTCTTTACCACATCTAACTTAAAGCGGAATCCTCTAAGACTTAAATGCTGTAGCACCATTTGTTAAATAAAATCTATTCTATATTAGTAATAAGGAATAATAATGATGAAAACGGTTGCAGAACCATTTAAACACAGTTAAAAACACATTTTAAAAGGAAGGAAATTTAATATCGAGAACTATCTAGCAGATTTTCTTTTAAACAATTTTTTACGGTTTCCTATCGTTATTCTATTTATGTTTGTTATTCTACAACATTCTATTATCGTTATTATTATTTCTTAGTCATTTATTTAAATTCTTCAATAATCTTATTAAGTCTTAAATTCCTTAACGTTTCTTAATTTCACAAGCAAATTATTAAAGAAAGGTTCGACTCTTTCCCTAATTGGCTAACGACAATGCCAAACATTTGAAATATTGCAATTCGGTGATGTAATTATAAAATGAAGTAAGAAAATGGAATTTCATAACTTTTCAATGATTATTTTTTTATAATTAATGTTAAAACATTTTCATTACTCAAATAACGTGCAATATTAAATTTGGATTTAAAAAATCTGAAAATACTGAATATATAAAAGTTTTTATACCTTAACATTCCAGAAGTTTTTATTATTAACAAATTAATTAATAAAAATTGTTCGCTCGATTTAAATTCCTCATCTTACTTTTTTGGGAAGGAATTGTTCTCAAAAGACATGACAAGAAATATGACATATTAAAATAGCATTAGGCAAATGTTTGAACTGTTTTAGCAGTTGAATTGAAAAAAATCAACTTTACCTAACCAACGTAATGTAGACTAGATTAATCCAAATTTTAACTTAAAAAAGGCATGTTCTATAGAGAAGGCGCGTTTCTGGATAAAATGGACATATTCTACCACTGTTACTGTTAACATAATAAAGATTTCTTTGAGATATTACTAAAGCACTTTGCGGAATGAAAATCCGACTAACAGTTCAAAAGTTATGAAAGTAATCCGTAATAAAAGTAATTTTTCTCAACTTTATTCCGACTCTTCTCTCCCCCTCACCTATGCTGTTTCATATTTTTAGATTCGCTTTCCTCAAAATTTTTGACATAAACAAGGTTTTAAATCAACGTAATTTATATTGTGGTGTGTTCAGTTATCACATTTCAATTCTCAGGAATCTTTTTCGCCAAATGCATGCAGAATTAACTAAGTATTATTTTGGATTCTTTTAGGTTCAAAGACGACAAGAAACTGGAAAGTGATTCCCGCATTAAATTAACAGAAAAAGATAGTAAGGCCTTGCTAACCATTGACGAAGGGAAACTGGAGGATTCTGCAGAATATAAAATAGTTGTTTCCAATGATCAAGGAGAAGACAGTTCCACGGCTGCAGTAACAGTTTCAAGTAATTATTGGTTTATAGTTTGGGAAACTTAGAAAAGGTTTAGCCTACACCTCCCAACGTATTTTAATAAATTTTATCCTTAGCTAGAAGAATCAAGGTTATTTTTCTCTAGTAGAACTTAATAACTTAGCTTAATAACTAATCGAACTTAACTTAAATAAAAGTGCAAACAATCACTTTCAATTTTATCTATAAAATTATGGCCAAAAAAGAAAAATATTCTCCGCTGTCTTTTTTGTTGTTTTTTTGTTTAATTCTTTATGAATAAAAAATATTAAATGTTTTAAAAATTAAAAATGAAAATTAAACCTATGTCTCACCCGTATGATCCCCACAGAATTTAACTTATGTTACGCGGCTCATAATCAAATGGTAATCAGTTAGTGTTTAACACTAAAGCAGTTTGGGCTTAACACGTTCACACCGGGAATAGTGAAAATACTGGTACGGGATAAGAGAATATACTGGTAGAAGAACTATTTCAATATTAGATAACATTCGGGAGGAGCTAATCTATTCTAAACAATAACAAATTACTGCAAGGAAATTTATCACGGCGAAGAAGTAATTCAATATAAAAATTGCATCCGTTAAAAACAATTGTTAGTTATGGATTTTTATTATTCCCGGAAAAAAATTAAAAAATGAAATTTATTGTTACCAGTTTTTACTGCGGTGCGCTGCCAAGATGAGACAATCTAACGTGACCCACCGGTGGGTCACCCCGGCGTGAACGTGTTAAATACTTCAAACGAAGTTGTTTTATTTCAATATCAAATGTAATCCTCGATGACTCAGGGAATAGAGCGTTCGTCTTCCAATAAGGTGAACCGGGGTTCGAATTCCAGCGATGGCTGGTTGATACAACGACGGCTATAAAATAAAATGAAATACCAAAACTTAAACAATAAATCTTAATACCAAAATATTTTATTTTAAAATTCGCATAAAAATCTTGCTTCTCATAAAGGGTTAAGTTAAAAATGTAAATGCCTTCCTATTTGATTGTTTAGTTTCGAAATATTTAACACGTTGCCACGCTAATTTCACATGACTTTGCTCGTCTGGCCACTTGGCCACACGGTAAATAACTACGAGCTAAACTTGCAAATATAGATAAATTTTGCTAGTTTATAAAAGGTTTAACTTAAATATCTGAAAAAAGTGGTTAATTATATTTACTTACGAATTGTTTAAAAATAGTGGTGGATAAAAATCTACTGAATTGAATTTATTAAACTTAGAATCACAATAATTAAGTAAATTTTGATTAAATTTTCTGCAATTCCATAAAAGAGTGTAAATTTTATAGTTCTATATCATGTTATACGCTGTCAGCCAGCTGTTTTTCGCGGCCTACGTGAAAGGTCAGTGTCAGCCAGCTGTTTTTCGCGGTCTATGGAAAGGTCAGTGTCAGCAAGCGGTGGCAGACGCAGCCTAAATGTAATTTCAGTGTCAGCCACCTCCATAAAAGAGTGTAAATTTTATAGTTCTATATCATGTTATACGCTGTCAGCCAGCTGTTTTTCGTGGCCTACGTGAAAGGTCAGTGTCAGCCAGCTGTTTTTCGGGGTCTATGTGAAAGGTCAGTGTCAGCAAGCGGTGGCAGACGCAGCCTAAATGTAATTTCAGTGTCAGCCACCGGTGGTTGACGCGGCCTAAATGTAATTTCAGTGTCAGCTACCGTTGGTTGACGCGACCTAAATGGAAAGTCCAGTGTCAGCCACCGATGGCTGACGCGGCGCTCAACGTGTTAATAATTTCGAAACTAAACTATTTCTCATAAAATAACGAGAGTATAATCCTTTATGATAAAATTTAATTAAGTTAAAATTAACATTTAAATATCACAAATTATAATATTTTAATAAAAAAAAAACTATATGCGTTAAAATGACTATATGCGACTAAGGGGATAGAGCCCGCGTCTCCCAACAAGGTGACTCAGGCTCTAGTGATTACTGGTCGATACGAATTCCTCACCCTTCTCTCACCAACCACAAAGCTGACGTAAAATATTTTCAGTGCGCATGGGTAAAGAGTCTCCTTACTCTCAGTCTAACCGCAGAAAGTTTCCGTTTTTTTTATTTCCATGTAACGCAAGTGGGGATTAGTTTCATCAAAAATTCTGCACCAAGGAAAAATATTTTCCCAACACTTGATCCAGGTGTNAACAATTAATAACTTATGAACTAATTATCGGATTCCTTATACATATTTCTACACAGCTCGTAATTTCAAGCTTTTAAGTATTTTGTGAACCTAAACAAAATGGAACGAATACCCAAAAAGACAGCGGCGTTGCTTATGATTTTTTGATAAAGTGAGAAAACAGTTATGAATCAAATCATGTGTTATTGATACAAATCAATTTTCTTTTCTTTACCCTAATCAGTTTAGTTATTTATTATTTTTTGTGTGCTTTTAGTCAAAGAAAAAAGTTCTAAGCCATTTGTTGGACAACTACATCCACTTGATGCCATTGTAGGAAAACCAATTATATTGGAGACCAAAGTAGCTGGAAACCCAGCACCAAAAATAGAGTGGTATTGTATTTCTCGTTTTTTAAATTATAGTAATGTTTCATTTCCTATGAGCTGCACAATCAGTCTTCCCGATGAGCAGACCTAGTGCGTTCTCGAGAAGTGGTATCCACTCTTTCAGGACCACCACAATGGGTGAGATACCGCTGGCCATGTTAATTTGGACGTTCAGTTTCTGCCACAATAGATGGCAGCACCGAGACTCTATTTGGATGCTAAAGTGCACTAGGAATTTAATTTTTCCGGAAATGCCAAGAGCCAATTATAGTAATGTGCAACGTAGTAAAAATATGTTGTTTTTTAAGAATTTATAACAATGGAGTGAGCAAATATTTTTCTAAACAACTCTTACATCAATTAGTATTCTTTTAACTTATAATATCGAATACAAATTTAACCGGTATTATTTGAATTATTTGCTTATCACTTTTATTGTGAACGAATTTTGTTTTGTTTTTGTAGATGAAAAATGCAATAATAATAATTTATCGCTTTTTAAAAAGAAACTAATAGTATGCTTTTGTTAGAAATTTAATAAAAAGTTTCAAAGTCATATTTGTGTCATATCTTAACCGGTTAACGCCCAGCGTCCTATATTTAGGACAGTCCCTTTTTTCAAAGACATTCATTGTGGTGGGAAACTTTTTTCAGCATTTTCATTTATCTGGGTGAATTAAAAGATTCTCAGATACCACAATGATTTAATTATTTCTGATTAGATCAAGAATTATAAGGAACAAGTACTTTTTGATCTATCAAAGACTTTTTGAATGCCATAACAGTGGAAAAACCAATTAATTTCGATAATATATTAAACCACTTTTTGTATCATTTCCATATATAAATTCGGGACAAAACGGGTTAATCACTCCATTAGTTTCGGAGTTGTTAAGCAGAGAATACTATAATCGCGGCTAAAGAATTGGCCAATTAAAAACAATTTATGAAGCTTAAGGTGGTTTTCTGGTCTAGAAATCCGATTGTTGCCTTATATTTAACATTTTTTATTGAAACGAAAGACTTAGTTACATAATTTCGTGGTTTTATTTCCTCACCTTTTCTTCCCATTTTAAATTTTTTTTATCCTGAAATTATTATTTATTAACATATAAAAATAATGGTATAAAATGGCAGTGCATGTCGAGCGCATAATGTTTAATCTGAAACAGATGAGACTAAATATTAACGATAATAGAGTTTGATGGACTTGAATTTACTGGCTGACCGAAATAGCTCTTCAAATTTAAATTTTTGAGTTACCAGTGTTTACTGTTGAAATATACATATATTATAAAAATGAAATGTCACGCTATAATTGCCAACATTGCAGAGATGCCAACTTGCTCTGGACAGCAAATACATTTTTTAAAGTGGTAGCTTATCAATTGTGATTCTTGGTTTAATAAATTCAATTTAGTAGATTTTTATTCGCCACTGTTTCTAAATGATTTGTAGGCTTATATAATTCTCCACTTTTAACACTTATGTCATGCTATACTTGTTAAAAAGCAAGCAAAAATAGTCAAATTGTTGCAAAATTTACTTAGTAGTTATTTACCTCTTTTTTAATTATTTTGGCGTGTCCAGGGCAGTTGAAATCTGAATAAAACGCGCCACAGCTACCAATTAATCTAAAAGATTACTGTTGCAGTTAAGTTATTATGAAAACAATGACTGAAAGCGCAACAGAAAACTATATATATTTATAGTCAAAAATAAAAGTGGTACTTTTAATATTTAAAAAACTGAATAATTTTCTCTACCTTTAAAATCATATAAACCTTCCCTGTTTTGAATATTCAACGTAACATAACATTTCATTTTTTTTGCGCAAAAACTATTTGTGTGAAAAGTACAAGGTTTACTTTTGATGCAATGATTGGAATTTTTTTCAGTTACTAGCACTCATTCTTAATGGTTCTCAGGGGTGACCTCAAATATGCCAATAAATTACTGCAAATTCTGTTCTAGCTACGAAATCGGATACAAAAAAAAAGTACTTTCTCTGAATATAAGCTCGTTTTTGGATAAAATGAACATATTCTGTCACAGGTACTAAAGCGCTTCACAGAATGAAAATCTGACTAACCATTCAAAATTTATTCAAGTAATTTTTCCCAATTAAACCTCTTCTCTCTAATTCCCACCCACCTACCCTGTTTCATATTTTTAGAGTAGCTTTCCTCAAAATTTTTGATATAAGCAAGGTTTCAAATCAACGTAATTTATATTGTGGTGCGTTCAGTTCAATTCTCAGGAATCTTTTTCGCTAAATGCGTGCGGAGTTAATTAAGCAATGCTTAATATTATTTTGGATTCTTTTAGGTTCAAAGACGACAAAAAACTGGAAAGTGATTCCCGCATTAAATTAACAGAGAAAGATAGTAAGGCCTTGCTGACCATTGACGAAGGAAAACTGGAAGATTCTGCAGAATATAAAATAGTTGTTTCCAATGACCAAGGAGAAGACAGTTCCACGGCTGCAGTTACAGTTTCAAGTAATTATTGGTTTATAATTTGGGAAACTTAGAAAAGGTTTAAACTTACACCTTCCAACGTATTTTAATAAATTTTATCATTAGCTAGAAGAATCAATGCTAATATTTGATGCAAGGCTATTTTTCTTTAGTAGAACTTAATAACTAATAGAACTTAACTTAACCAGAAGTGCAAACAATCACTTTCAATTTTATCTATAAAATTATGGCCAAAAAAGAAAAATATTCTCCGCTGTCGTTTTTTTTTGTTTAACTATTTATGAATAAAAATTCTTAAATATTTTAAAAGTAAAATTTAAAAAAAATAAATAATGCGTGGAGTCCCTCCGTGGGGAAGAAGTGAAACTTTGTAATGTGGAAATGAAAATAGTAAGGGGTAGAAATTAATTTTTAGTAAAATCATATTGTCTCTTTAAGACAAACTTTATTAACTTTGCTTACAATTCACAATTGATAGCATCTTTTAATTATCATTTTCGAGTGGAGAAATATCCAAATCTATAACATTTACAATGGGATTTTTATAACTAAAGTAAGATACGAAATGTTTGAGTTCTATTTTTTCAATATTTCTTGCAAAAACTGCATCAATGGTGTTCCCCCTTTGGTTATTGGATCATTCGTACCATTTATCATTTCCAATCCAAATTTTTCTTTAAGGAAGGTTAATAATGTTTCAGCTTCAGGTAACGAGAACGCAACAGTGCTTTCATGCCCCCTCCATGGTAGTGTTAAACGTTTAACGCAACCTTGTTGGAAGTCGCAGTAGAAGTTTCACTTCAAAAAGTTAAACCTATGTTTCACCTGTGTGATCCCCACAGAATTTAGCATATTCAAATGCGAATCAGTTAGTGTTCAACACTGAATCAGTTTGTGGTTAAATACTTTAAACAAAGATGTTTCATTTCAATATCAAATGTAATCCTCGGTGGCTCAGAAGATAGAGCGTTCGTCTTCCAGTCAGGTGAAGCGGGGTAGAATTTCAGCCATGGCTGGTTGATACAAATTCCGCATCCGGCTTGCAACGACAACAGTGCTGATGTAAAATATTCTCAGTGGTGGACAAATCATGGGTTAGAGTCAACTTGCCGTCTGGCTAACCGTGGGAGGTTCTCGTGGTTATCCTCGCCATGTAACGCAAATGTGGGTTGGCTCCATCGAAAAGTCCTCCACGAAGGTGAATTTCTCCCAATACTTGATCCAGGAGTTCCCTTGTCTTCTGGGTTGGACACAAAATTACAAGGCTATGCAGTTTAACCATGAACCCAAAAATTGGGTCGGCTATTCGGCGACAGTTATAAAATAAAATGAAATACCAAAACTTAAACAATAAATCTTAATACCAAAATATTTTAATTTAAAATTCGCATAAAAATCTTGCTACTCATAAAGGGTTAAGTTAAAAATGTAAATGCCTTCCTATTCGATTGCTTAGTTTCGAAATATATAACACGCTGAATGCCACGCTAATTTTACATGATTTGCTCGTCTGGCCACACGGTAAATAACTACAAACTAGATTTGCAAATATAGACAGATTTTGTTAGTTTATAAAAGGTTTAGCATGACATATTTCAAAAAAGTGGTGAATTATATATACTTATCAATTGTTTAAAAATAGTGGTGGATAGAAATCTACTAAATTAAATTTATTAAACCAAGAGTCACAATACTTAAGTAAATTTTGAATAAATTTTCTGCAATTCCATAAGAGAGTGTAAATTTTATAGTTCCATATCATGTTATACGCTGTCAGCCAGCTGTTTTTCACGGCCTACGTGAAAGGTCAGTGTCAGCCACCGGTGGTTGACGCGGTCTAAATGTAATTTCAGTGTCTGCCACCGGTGGCTGACGCAGTCTGAATGTAATTTCAGTGTCAGCCACCGGTGGTTGACGCAGTCTGAATGTAATTTCAGTGTCAGTCACCGGTGGTTGTCGCGGCCTAAATGTAATTTCAGTGTCAGCCACCGGTGGTTGTCGCGGCCTAAAGGGAAAGTCCAGTGTCTACCACCGATGGCTGACGCTGCGCTCAGCGTGTTAAACATTTCGAAACTAAACTATTTCTCATAAAATAACGAGAGTATAATCCTTTATGATAAAATTTAATTAAGTAAAAAATAACATTTAAATATCACAAATTATAATATTTTAATAAAAAAAAAACTATATGCGTTAAAATGACTATATGCGACTAAGGGGATAGAGCCCGCGTCTCCCAACAAGGTGACTCAGGCTCTAGTGATTACTGGTCGATACGAATTCCTCACCCTTCTCTCACCAACCACAAAGCTGACGTAAAATATTTTCAGTGCGCATGGGTAAAGAGTCTCCTTACTCTCAGTCTAACCGCAGAAAGTTTCCGTTTTTTTTATTTCCATGTAACGCAAGTGGGGATTAGTTTCATCAAAAATTCTGCACCAAGGAAAAATATTTTCCCAACACTTGATCCAGGTGTTTTCTTGTCTTCTGAATCGGATTCAAAATTACAGTGCTACGGAATTGAACATAGGCAGTCGTAAACTCAAAATTGTTTCAGTTGTTAAACGACGGTTATAGAATAGTTTAAAATATAAAAAGAAGTTATATTAAATGTCTGATTCACTGATATCTAATCGTCGAGAAAAAAAAGCAAAAATCGTCAATTTTGTTTTCCAAAAAAAAGAATTGAGGCTTGTAATTGCTACCACTTTAATTTCCTTGCAACGCTTACTTATAAGGGTAGTCTTAAATCCAACTTAAGTTCATTATTGCGGCTTTTTTTTTCATTTAAAAAGTCACGTCTGTTCAAAGGCAGTGTGTGACGAGATATTCAAAAAAAATTAAATTACATTTCATTGCAACTACTGATCCAAAAATAATTAAAAATTGGTAATCAAGTTTTCCTTGCTAGCAAATATCTAACTGTTTTACCTTGAGTAGAGGTAACACCCGCAACAACTAAGTCGAATGGTGTGTACCGAATGAAATTTTTTTCTAGGAATTATAACTGTTAAAAATAGTGGCAGCTACGAATAGTTTATTTCCCCTGAATAAAACGCAGCACCAGTTTCTTTTAACGTTTCCGGAAGTATAACAGACATTCAATTTCTAAAGGAGGTACACACATCACTGGAGCCCCCAGATCCATGAGAATGAAAGATCTAAGAAGAGATTTAAAAATCAATCAAAATAGAGAAACACATAGCTGAACTATGTGCAAGTTTCTTCAGAGATGCACTCTCTTCTCATACGTGCAACTACTTTAAAAACTTTGACTTTGAGCTCATCAAAGACAACATAAAATATAGCCCGGCAACCGCCTTCTTCCTATCCGATAGAGTTTTTTCCCGTAAATTTTGTAAATACTTGTACATATTTTTGCGCATTTATTATCATGTATTTTTCATATTTCTCTGAGGCTAGGTGACTACTGTGCACCTGAGAAGCTCGGAGGTAATACCGCGGTGTGAGGCGAGGCAGTCTGCCGCAAAAACCTCTTCTCTCTCTTAAATTTGTTTAATCCCGCTACTTAATTTAAATTTTCTCTCAGTTAATGTTACTGAACTCCAACTTTCACCTTCCAGTTGCGCTTCGGCGATTTATTATTTATTCCCACTCAGATGAATTAGTTAGAGCACCTAGCGGGGCCGATGCTAAGATAACCACCACATACAAGTATGAGTGAGTAAAAGGAGGTGCAGAATTACTTCATTTGCATTCCACAACCTCATCGAAGCACCACAAAGATCAATCTAAAGATGAATGGGGAAAAGGTCGCGAGCGGCCTCAGGTACCCAGATGTTTTATACAGTTCAATTCAGGAGGTGCAGCAGTTTCTAGCCACTCTAGAAGCTGTTGATGTAGGACACGAAGACTGGGATTCAAACTGATATAGTTTGATCACTAAAAACACAACTTGAAAACGTGTCTCAAACAAGCCATGAGCTCATTTTATTACATACAAAATTTTAATGCTTTATATTCTTCCTCTTTTTTTGTGTAATATCTTACCCTCCAATGTCTGAGTTGCCAGCGGTAGAGAACTAATCCAGATATTTTTAAAGCAAGTATAAATTTTCTAAGACTATTTTCTTATTAGTTTTACTATGAAAAACTAAAGAGGACTTTTGTGTAAACTTTTGAATCATTCACATTTATTGGTGTAGGAAAATTTTTTTTAAATCACTGAAGAACGAAGCACACATTAAAACGTAAAATTTGCTACCACAAGAAGAAATTTTCCCGAAAAACGTAAAAAGTTGACCGTTCTAAATAAAACATAAATATTTCTAGCCCTAAAAAAACTTTAACCAATGAAAACAGTGAGTGAGTTGGCATCTATGAGATTATTGTGTCCTGAAAGACGAAAATGAAAACATTAAATAGAAGTTTTTTTTCGCCATGGTGTAAAGGCTCAAAATTATAGCTATGGACAATAAAGCCGTTGATTTATAAATAGAGTGGAACTAAATTTAAAGCATATGCCTACTTTGATTTAAATTATTATTGTTTGAATTCGAACTTTTTTTTATAGTTCCAGGAAAGAAACCATCAATTGTAAAAGAATTAAAAGCAACTAAACTTCTGGAAGGAGACGAAGGTAAATTACAGTTTGTCCTGGCAGGATACCCAATGCCAACAGTAGCTTGGTATGTATAGAAGATTGAAATTCTTAAAGTATGCACATATATATATATATATATATATATATATATATATCTCGATATCACACTGACGTGATCTCAATACGGTGCTCTTGTATTTCATCGCATAGTAGTACATTTAAGAACACTTTAATAGGCTTACCTTTGGAGCATGGGGGNTATATGTTACCGTTAAAGTATGAAATCCGTTATTTTATAGAATACCTAGTTATTCCATGAAATAACTGATCGTGTCCGTTAAAGTGTGTAATATGTTATTAATTTGACACTTTAACTAGTTATTCTATGAAATAACTAGGTATTCTATAAATTAACTAATGAGAGACAGTTAAAGTGTAAAATAAACAATATATCTAAAATGAAATGACTAGGTATTCTATAAATAAACTAATGATAGACAATTAAAATGAAAAAGAAGCAATTTATCTAATTTATGCAGCGTATAAATGGTATTTGTGGAAACGTACCATAAAATCATTTGTAACAACAAGGATTACTAAAATGACACTTGGAATTACAAAGAACATTATTTCTAAAACAAAAAGATTTCTTGCTGACACACTGGGTTTTACACGAAAATTTTTTAAATCCCTGACTAGTACCTAAACTTTAGGCTGTAGCAACCGACCGGAGCGATATTTCTACATCCGGTGCTTCTTCGATTTTAATTAATTTTTGTTCTCAGACACTGAACTGGGATCGGGAATATAATTGTTATATGCGACCGTTTCTTGAGCCCAATTGGAAAAATCCTTCTTCGGTTATTTTTATGATGATAGCTAAAATAGATAAATGCAGTAGGGGTGGAAGGTAAATCTATTTGTCATGCGAGATATATGATATAGATTATTTTACACTTTAACGGGCTGCAGGTGAAATAACTAGTCTGTGAAATAACTAGTTAAACCATGAAATACAAGAGAGTTTTACACTTTAACTGACACGATCAGTTATTTCATGGAATAACTAGGTATTCTATAAAATAACGGATTTCATACTTTAACGGTAACATATATATATATATATATATATATACATAAAGATTTATGAAATGAGAAGAAGAAACATTATAATAATAAAATATTACAAAAACTATCTCAAAATTTTATTTAAAAAAATAAAAATACAAATTCGGAAAACAAAATAAGGAAAAGATATAATCTCGTCATCAGTCCTCACTGTTATATCTGCAAAAAAGAGTGCTTTCTAACATTGTATTAGTATAGCCAAAGAAAAATATATCAATAAAATAGTGTGAAGAGCACCCAAGAGAAATTTAAACGAAAATAGAACATATTAGGTAAAAACTACAAACTAAAACATATTAAGCGAAAAATGGAAAATAAAAAGTAAAAAAGAAACAAAATACAGAATAAAATACAAAAAGTAAAATATAAAGCGGATTAGCAAATTCAAATAAACTTAGACATACCATTATCTTTTAAAAATGAATTGAAATATTTTAGTAACAAGATTGCTAGATTATTAAGTATGAAAATAGAAGCGTAAGTAGAGGATAGTCGGAATATTTTAAGGCTCGTTCTTACTGAAGCTCGTTTGATTTTCTAGTTACCTTGGATTGGCCTAAACATTAGTACTTCAGTGCTTTTTCGCGTTGCCTATAATAATACAATATTAATGAGCACTATTCTTTGCGAAAATAATCGTTGTGCTGATGACAAGATTATATCTTTTCATTATTTTGTTTTTCGACTTTTTAATTTTTTATAAAATAAGATTCTTAAATACTTTTTTTTAAATTATTTTATTTTTTAATGTTTTTTCTTCTATTCATGAATCTGTATTATATTTTTTTTCCATATTTTCTCTATATTTTTAATTTAATCGATGAGTTTTATATACTTGCAGCTTATGTGCAGCAAATAAAGCTTATTATTTTTCTTAATTTTCTTCCCTATTCTCTCTTTTTGTTTTTCCTTTTTGTCTTTACTATACTATATTATAATATGTATCCGACGGTATACATAGATAAAGCGTTATAACATATAAAAATGGTTATCTAGCAGATCACAACTCTAGAAGGCACCACTTAAAGTAAAAGCATGTTAGATTGCCGGAAGAACAAAGGGAAGATAAAAGACGATTTTTAAAAACATCTCCCCAGGCAATCTAGCTAGTTTTGATATTTTTCATCCCATAAATTTTTCTTCACTTATTTTTAACGTCATAGTTGACAAGAGTTCTGAAAAGCATATTAAAAACGTTCGTTTTGGAACTTCTTGTACAGATGAAAAAAATTTAGAATTCATTTAAAAAGCTAGAATATTTTTTATCGAAATTAATTATCATTACGTCAAGTCATTTATTAATTATATTCAAGTTTTTTCACGAAACTTCTTTCAAAATCATAGTTGCATAAGATTTCTATTTTATATTTAAAGTGGTAACAAAATCTATTCTTGAACCGTGGTAACTCAGGGGATAGAGAGTTAGTCTTCCAATGAGACGAACCGAGTTCGAATTCCATGGTCGATATGATTTTCGCACCCGGCTCAAACCGATCACAGTGCTGACGTAAAATATCCTCGGTGATAGACGGATAGTGGATTAGAGGCCCAATAATTGATCCAGGAACACTGAAAATATGAAATCTGTTATTCATATTTCATACATTTAATATATAAATTTAATGTTAAATGATATTCGCCATTAAATTATATTCGATATGAAAATTCTATGTTAAATAATATTTGATATGAAAAGAGTAATCGCCTCTACATATAAATGAAACATATAAATAAATGCATAATTATAAATTGGTGGAGAATTCGAGATTTAACAAAAAAATTGTCTGCAATATTAGTTTAATTTTCATCCCATTGAGCACTTGGAAAAACAAGCCCTGGAATTAGAAAAACTTAGCAGAAAAGTGGAATGATTTTAATTCTTTCGGCGCATCGAACTTTGACTGAAAATTGTAGATAGACAGCACGTGCGACTATGGATCCTGAAATCTAAATAAAGATACACTATGTTATTAAAAAAAAAATAGCGGTTGCTAAAAAAGAGGTGAGTGTTTGGAAGCAAATAGTTATATATTTTTAGTTGTTTGCAAAGTTTTTAAAACTAGTTGTTAGGACACACTGCATCAGAAAGACTTAACCTTTCAGAGAAGAGCAAATTTCAATTGAAAATGTTAGTCAGGCAGGACATTCTACTTTCTGCTAATACGCAGATATATGCTCAATAAGGACTTGCTTTCGTAATAATGCGTTTCAGCAATATTCTCCAATGTCTGGGATATTAAGCCAAATAATATGCATTGGGGAAGAAGGTTAGGTTCCACATACACAATGTAAACCATTACGCCAAAGTTCGGTGCGGTCCCTCTGTACTAAGATAAAAAGAACATTTAGGGAATCAGATACTTGAAAAGGGTTTGCACCCTCCTCTCCTCGCAACCACTATTGGGACGGCTAGGAGAGGAAAAGTTTTCTCTTCTTATTTAGTGTTTCTTCTTATCTCTTCTTCTGCACTCCTACACAATTGATAAACAGTATTAAACAATAAATTAATATATTTTCAAGAATACATTTATATCATCCATGTTGATTAAATCTGCTAACACATTTTGGCATAGAAAGAAAGAAAAGAGTGGGTGGGTTGGAGCCAGCCTACTGAATCATACATAGTTTTCCAACGACCGGTTCACAGGTGACGTATTTCCTGACTGTCATTTTGGTTTTTATGCGCATGCGTTGGATCTTAGTGCATATAATGTTCTGCTAAATCTGAGTATGTTGCTCACTTTGTAAGTTGTTTTTCTGGTAAAGCTCACAGCATCGAGCAGTCCCCCACATTAGTTACGTATTCGAAGAGCTGTTCTTCTCTTTTATATAGTCTTTTGTTAACACATTGCTGGCGGACAACTTTTCTGAAAATGACCCCATGGCCCCGGCTATTGTTTTGAAAGCGGATGTGGAAGTAAAACAATATAAATAAACTTTGAAAAATTTTAATTTTTCTGAAAAATTTTAATTTTTCTGAAAAATTTTAATTTTTTGAAAAATTTTAATTTTTTAAATTTTAATGCCGTATGATAAAAAGTTAACAATCACCTATGTGTAATGGTACATCACAAGTTTTGTAAATATATCACTTTTCGTAAAGTTATAATAAATTGGTATAGAATTAAATATTAAAACTTGAAAAGTAAGGAAAATTACGTCCACTTTTTAAAATAGTCTCCACGAGATCAATGCTAACGAAAACACCAGTTAACTCGTGACCGGTCACCAACGTTTGACCACGAAAACACGAGTTAACTCGTGACCGGTCACCAACGTTTGACCACGAAAACACGAGTTAACTCGTGACCGGTCAGCAATGTGTTAAGCTTCTCAATGCATTTGAGGAGGTACAGTTGAGGAGGTAGATGATGGACTGATTCAAATACGCCTTGTATCGATGTGCAGAAGGCGTTCATGTGTGACCTTTGACAGTACATTCTAAGTGAAGCTCAACAAGTGATGCATACTTCAGTTCTTTTTCAGACATGCCAATTTCTCCGCTTTCTGCTAAAATTTTAGTAAATTGGTAGCGAATGAAATAGTAAAACTTGTAGCATAAGGATAATTACGCTTGCTCCTTAAAAGTGTCACCATGAGGTAATTGCCACAAAGTTGCATTTCATATGATACTTTGAATATTTGGTTCGTAGTGGTGAAAAAATTACTTGAAATGAAAATACTGCACTAAAAATAACTTAAATTACGTTACCACTAGGAAATGTTTTTTACAAAGCGGATTAAGTTGGCCTCCCTGATTTGTTGGTCAATGAATAATGGTTTTTAACTGTTTAAAAGAAATTAGTCTTACATTTCTAGTGGATTGTCAGACTAGCTACTTAGCACTGAAAGGGGTTAAAACAATATTTAAATACCTGAAAAAGACACTAAAAATATAGAGTAGAAACGAGATTTTTCCGAGATTCCTTCTATATTCTTTTTTGCTTACAGCACACAATTTTATGACACAAATTTCGATCTCAAATAAAAAAAACTAATAGCAATGATTTTTCCGTTGCTATAATTTTTTGAATTAAGTTTTTTTTTTTCAGATCTTAAAATTTTGATTGATAAAAATATTCGATAAAAAAAACCTTATTTATTATTTAGTAAACATTTCATTTCATGCCTGTCGAAAGGGAAAAAAATAATAAGTAAAGCAATAAAATCAACAATTCCGAAAGCGATACTAATTGAAAATCTCTTCAGAGAAGATGTGAAGTGCAACTAATGCATCAGCAAATCTTTAAATAGGTGATTCAGGGACAATGGAGCAGTAAGAAAGATGCTAGCGGCGTTTGATCTTTAAGATACGGTTAAGAGTGTTCCAGACAGTTATAGTTATTTCCCAGCTAAATTTTCCATATTGTTTTCGATTATTTTTTCTTTCAATGACCATTAAGCTCTGATTTTCTAGGATGCATAATGGAAGAAATGTTCTCGAAGGACAGCACTGCACTGCCACTTTAGATGATAAAGGCGTGGCAACATTAACAATACAAAACGTGAAATTGGAAGATGGAGGAATGTACACAGCAATTGTTTCCAACAAATTAGGAAAAGCTAGCACCGAAGCACCTGTAATTGGTAAGACATTTTCAATCATAGATAAATATTGGATATTTTCTATCTAAATTTTAAAATTTATTCTGAAAATGTAATTAACTTTCAGCAACATTTAATTAAATGTTTAAAGATAGATATGTCAATATAATTAAAATTTGAAGAATCTCTTTTTCAAATTTTAGATATTCATTAAATATTATTCATTAAATATTATAGATAGAATTTTATACCATGATAGAATTTTAGATATTCATTAAAAGGATTGTAGTAGGTTTTGTATGGTGTTTGTATGTTTTAAAAGTAGTATCAGAACTAAAATGATTTACAATATTTTAGCATAATTGTAATTACACAATGTCTTAATAGCTACAAGGGAATATACTTTAAGTGCATATTGTTCGTCTTTATGGTTTCAATTTCAAAATGGAAAGGTGATAAATGAGAGGATGGGCAACGAATTGAACAACATGGGATGCAAAGAAATTGTCATCCCTATTTTTATTGCTCAACGTGTGAACTTTTCATTAATCATTTATAAATTTACTGTACTAATAACTGTGTGGGTGCACAGAGCCGCCAAGTGTTTATATATATACAGATATGCTTATCTTTCCGCAAAAGTTTTAATAAATTGGTAGCGAATTAAATAGTAAAACTTGTAGAATAAGAATAATTACGCTTACCTTTTAAAAGAGTCACTATGATATTACTACATCATCATCAACATTTATCTGGGCGCTTGGGGCCGTTAGCGGCCTTTTTCCCATTCGTCTTGAATTTTGATCTTTGGGGTGGTTCTTTCTGGTAATTGGATTGCAATTGAAGTAAAAGGAAATTAAATATTTTGAATTTTAGATAAAATTACGTCACTACAAAAATGAGCTGCCATCGGTCTGAGGTTTATGTCTTCTCTTAAGTTTTCAAAAGTAAAAATTTCGTTGAATCCTGCGGTGTCACAATTTATGGTCTTTTCAAAAAATCTGAAGTTTTGCTTTGCAATGTGATGATCTAAAAAATCTATGTTGAGGTCGCTATGTATGTTTTTATTGCGGATAAACCATCTTGCTTTTGTTATTTTCCTGAGGATTTTGTTCTGGCATATTTTGAGTTTTTTAAGGAGTGATGTAGAGATGTTGCACCAAGCTGGAGATGCATAAGTCAGGATGGGACGGATCATCGAGATGTAAAGTAAACGTTTAAGTCTGAGTTCCATTTTAGGGTTCTGAAGAAGGATTTGTAATCTGTGGCAGGCTGTTTGTGCTTTGTTGATGACTGTTTTGACGTGATCTTTCCAATTAAATTTGCTGTTTATGACCAGACCAAGATATTTTGCTGTTTTGACTATGGGTATCGTTTCGTTAAAGAGTACAACTTGATTTTTAGGGAGGATCGTTTTTCTTTTATGTTGAATGATTAGTAGTTTCGATTTTTGGCCGTTTACTTTAAACTTCCAGTCTAGGCACCAGGTTTCTATTTCTGTGATCTTTTCTTGGAGTTTTTGTAAGGCAATGTTGGGATTTTTGGACTTCACGACAATTCCTGTATCATCTGCGAAA